TGTTTTAATTTGTCATAAGTTCTCTTTGATAATTCTTGATAAGACTTCAAAAGACATACTTTGCAGGGTAACTTAGTCTATGACAACACTGATATTATGAACTGAGGAATACATAAAGTTTTGTATGTTTACTGGGGAAAGCTACGATATATACTGACCCGCAATGAAAACGTGTAAGGGTTTTTATCAGATCATTTTTTGAAACATAAGTGAGAAGTACTAATGATGCACTGAATATTTGAAATGAATGTTCAAGACTTGATTAGGAACAGTTGTTCAAATCCACTTCATGCTTCAGGAAACAGAAACATTCGTGAAAACGCATTTTGTATCCTTTGTTGAAACACAGCAAGGCAGTCCTGACAATGAAAATGCATGTGCACTTCGTGAGGCCTTTCCCATATAATGCATGTGTAAAGAGAGATCAGTAGCAAGTCTTAAACATGCCGCGCTTGAAGCCGGTATTTCACAAAATGTTGTTGCTAGGCGCCTTAATGTCAACCAGTCCACCATTAGCCGTCTTGTCAGTCGTCACCAGATGAGAGGGAGCGTTGCGAATCGCCCTCAACCAGGACGACTTCCAGTTACGACGGGGAATCGAACCTTGGCCTTCGGCGTGTCGAGCGAACGCTTTAACGACTAGGCTATCCCACTGCCCCGATTCGGAATGAAAGAGAAACAAATCTAAAAAATCTATATTATAATATATTATAACCAATATATGCAGAAACAAGCCATGCGCGTATTAAAAGATACGGCATAGTCGGTGGCCATGTTGTATCTGCACTAGCTGGCATGGTCAGTACTGGTATACGTTTAGGTACTACTAAGCACATACTTGCTATAAACAAGCACTTCAGGGTATGATTTCTGTTGCTATACAAGACAAATGCATACAGCAGGTAGACACTATACACAGTGTGACATGTAAACGGCAGATTAACCTGCCTGGTGTGTACAGGGTGGTACAGACCCTGAAACAAAGTTATCCAAGAAAGCCCATGCAAGTCTAGAATATGGGCCAAGTCTATATTTCCATGGTTTCGGAAAATGAAGAGTCTCTGGGCTCCTTTTTTTGCAAAAGTACCTCTTATGGTTATAAATTAGGAACTGTTGTTTCTGTAAAATATGTTCATTTCAGAGACTAGATGTTAGTCTGTGATACCGCTAGTCTATTATACAGACCCTGAAGCAAATATATCCAAGAAAACCCACGCAAGTCTAGAAAGTGTGGCAAGTCTAAATTTTCACAGCAAAGTCTCAGGGCTCCTTTTCATTATATTTTATTTTTTTACCGTGAGCTTTTTTTCTGTAAAATATGTTCATTTCAGAGACTAGATGTTTGTCTTTGATACCGCTAGTCTATTATACAGACCCTGAAGCAAATATATCCAAGAAAGCCCACGCAAGTCTAGAAAGTGTGGCAAGTCTAAATTTTCACAGCAAAGTCTCAGGGCTCCTTTTCATTATATTTTATTTTTTACCGTGAGCTTTTTTTCTGTAAAATATGTTCATTTCAGAGACTAGATGTTTGTCTTTGATACCTCCTTCCACACATAGAAATGTGCATGTAGCTGAGCATGATAAAGCAGTGCTATAAAGGACCTCATTCATTCTTACTTTCATTCATCCATTACCTTCACTCATTCACCACATGTCACAAATCAGCTCTTAGACTATTTATCATTACTAAAATTACAATTATTACTTTTTTGGGTCAAGGTTTATACACATTATAACAGTTCCGTCTATACGTGTCTAAACACACACACACACACACACACACACACACACACACACACACACACACACACAACACGAACACACCGAGAGAGAGAGAGTAACTATATTTTATGATATTGCAGCAGAGACTATATAAATTTATCATCCAAAACTGTCTTCCACAGGAGATATCGCTTGTGTGAGATCAAACGATATCTCCTAGGAGATATCGTTTTGAGAGTAGATTTTGTACAATGCCCTCACAATGCTATGACATCACTGCACTGCAAGTGTAATGGCAGTACCGTGTTGACAGATGTACATATTTCATTGAAAATTAATGAAAAGTGATTTTGGATGATAAATAGAATCTCACCCTCGTGTCTTCTGATATCAAATATATCAACACTCATTGATAAAAGTTAAAATATCCTCGGCAAGCCTCGGATATTTGTAACTTTATCAACTCGTGTTGATATAATTGATATCAGAAGACACTTGGGTGAGATTCTATATGTATTATATGATCTCTCGTTGCAAGGAACATTAGTGGACAAATAGAAGATACTAAACGACCTTCCGTGTAATACCATTTTTATTAAACAAGTTAATGATTTGGTATCAAACGAGCAAAAGCGAGTTTGACACTAAATCTTTCACGAGTTTAATAAAAATACCATTGTGACAGAGGTATTAGCATTGTGACGTCATAACTGTAAACAATTATGACGTCATGCGTCTAGCGGTATTACACTAGTGTAATATTGTCGTAAAAAATTACACTGCAGTAATTTACACGGGCGAGTAATAAAATCCAGTAATAACATACTTACAATGGATAATGATGAAATGCTCCAATGAGCCCCAAGTTAATTTCCTTCAGAATCACAATTCTGAATAGTGATGTATTTTCTTTGAATAATGTAGATGTCGAGTGAACACAGTCTCTTCTAAAGAGTCCATTATAGAGATTAGCACATTAATGCATGGATATACACAGGAATGACATTTAAATCAAAGCGATTTCGCATTCCAGGTAATCCCTGACCCCTTATATTCATATGTAATTGTGGTTTTCTTTCTTTTCTTCTTGGCAGAAATTATAAACGGTTTTCGTTATTGTAAGCCTCTATTATTTGTTGATTGTTGAATGCTATTATTGCATTTCAAATAACACAAGTTTGTTTTCAACGATATAATTGTGTTGATGCTTTCTGAGTGAGTAAGTGAGTGTTTGGTTGTTTGGAACGGCGCTTCTTTATATATGGCCTATGTACTGTAACGGTTTGCCAAATCCCGAGAGAAAAGGAACCGACTGAGAACTTGATACACAGTACCTGTAAACTAGAGAGTTCGCCCCTGTATACAGAGCCAGATTAAGAATAGTAATGAAACTAGACTGAATATTTGAGTGCGTGATTGCGTGCGTCCGTGCGCGGGTGCGTCAGTCAGTTGTGTTTAAAACGGCTTTGAACAGGTTTTAGTTAATGTGTGAGAAATTGTACCAAAAGACATGGATCGGTTTTGTATCAATTGAGATTCCAACATACGATCTGTCAAAAGGGATGCATCTCTACTTCGGCGTACGTTACCACTGGATCGGTGGTTGTGCATCCATTTCGATCTTAATTACCAAAATATACTTTTAGAAGTGTGAAAATATATAATTCAATAAATACTCTCTCGCTGCAAATGTTGCCACGTGATAATTCCAGCCATCATATATTTCAGTATATTGTACTGTAAAACCTCAACGGGGGTTTTCTGTTGACTACTACAACCATGCAAATAATCCAGACAACATTGACGACTTTTGTTACAGTTAAGCAATCTATCGTTTGTAACAGCGCGGGAACTGACAGCTGAACGACAATGCGAAAGCACAAACTATGCCTTTTCACAACAAACCTACTCACATCTAGTCTCTGAAATAAACGTATTGTAGAGAAAAAACGGTTCATAAATCATGATGATAAAATATCATAATAAAACAGCCCAGAGACTGTATTCCTTTCCTGAAACTGTGATATGCTAGACTTGTCTCATATTCTAGACTTGCATTGGCTTTCCTCCATATATTTGTTTCAGGGTCTGTGTGAAACTGTAGTAATCTAGACATGCCCCCATATTCTGATCTTGCATGGACTTTCTTGGATATATTTGTCCAGGGGTTTGCATGACAGATTACCACTTTACCACCTGTATGACAACCTGGGCCAGTCTTATTTGAAGAGGATTTGTTCTGATTGAAAAATTAGCCCTGGGAGGATCTGTCCGACAGCTTAAAACTAATTTCCCCATGTTCAGAACCTGGCGCTTTTAAAATCGAACTTAATCCAGGTAAAATGGCAACGCTGAGTTAGAAAATGAAATATTTGAGAATGTAATTCTGCATGTATAATTCTATATTAATAAACAACTTTTGACTGAACCTGGGGCTGCTGTGTGTCTCTCTGCTGTATGAGTCCCAGTGTATCACTTGCATCTCCATGGGGCGGTGGGGTAGCCTAATGGTTAAAGCGTTCACTCGTCACGCCGAAGACCCGGGTTCGATTCCCCACATGGGTACAATGTGTGAAGCCCATTTCTGGTGTCCCCCGCCATGATATTGCTGGAATATTGCTAAAAGCAGCGTCAAACCCAACTCACTCACTCACTCACTCACTTGCATCTCTATACAAAATTATGCGGTTTAGATGTAATTGCTCGTAAAAATAGGAATATCTATGATTATTATTTGTTCGTCTACGAGTTCAGAACCGTAAAGTTTATTGCCAACAACGGATGATAATGAACCCGTGGAAGCACATTTAGGGCCTTCACTTCGACTCGGTGATCTGTGACATTATCATAATCACCAAGGTAGATACCGTAACAATACACATACCTTATCGGCGTATGTGTCCTAGATCATACGTACGGGTTTCCCAATGTCAACATTCTCAACCAGATTCTTAGTGGTTATCTTCAATAACATGTCAACCAATTTAATTTACCCGGTATTTGTTCTTAAAAGTTCCCCTTGCAAATCCCCCTGCTCGCATTCCTAAAGGAGAACGGGGGAATAGGCTTATGTTGACATAATGCGCTGTACCCTACGAGTAATTTATCAGCTAATCTACTCCATGTGGAAAGCCAGTCGACTCGGCTATTCAGGGCATGGGGGTAAGAGTAAGAAACGGGCCTCAGCGAATTTTGAGGGCGCAGCCATTCTCAAATTTGTTGGGCTAGCGAGCGTGCAGTGAGGGGTCTAACTCCGACAAGTTCCTACGAACAGCTTAACTGCGTGCATGCCACCTCAGTGAAAGTTTCCCTGATAACAACCAGGCCTCCAGCGGAGAAGTTTACTTATCCCAAGTGGGGGAATTTCATCTTATCGTCGTTGGGGTATTTTGCGGTGAACTGAACGCTTGGTTTCCCTCTATTGGGAGTCCTGCTTCCTTCTCTAACCAACGGTCTACTGGGCTGTTTGGCTGTAGAGGGGTGCCGCGGTTCTTCAGACGTTCTGCTTAGGTCCTTACTCTAGTGCTAGCAGGTGTCGTTAGGTTATACCCCCAAACACTTGTTGGCTAGCCACAGTGGCCCTTTATGAGTGACGGTGACAGTCTATGAGAATTGGAACTTCGCTGATGTTCAATTTGGAGTTCGGTGTTCGACATCTGTGTAAAAAATGATGAAGTTGCAGGAAGATGTGACGATGTTCGTTTTGCTGCTATTGCTGGTGGTGGTGCAAGCTGAAGGCAGAAAACCATCGTCGCAACGAAGAAGCCAGATTCAGAACGATGGCCCTTCAGGGTAAGCATCAATATGAGGAAATTATACACGGCATACCTACTTACTATACGGAGCAATGTTATTATAAAATGTTCAAAAACTTTAAACGTATATCGTTTCTGTTAATAAAACATCAGCTGAGCCTATTGAACGCTTCTCGTATATACATGCAAACGTTACATCCACTATGCAGTAATACATATCAGACCTGTGTTTCATGAATCTATTGCACATCTGGTGTTCATATCACCAAGCTTTGAAAGATTCATACATGCATTGAAACCAAACAAGGAATTTTTGCAATTCCTACCGAAAGTTCTGACAGACGTACCAACCAGGACAATCAAACATGAAACAGATAAACTGTGTGATTGGGTTACATGTCATGTTTATTTTATATATTGCAGTTCCATTTTGTGTTGATAACAACACACTATGAACATGTCGTAAGTGTCATGATATATATGAATTCGTCATAAGTGTTGAAGGGAGCTTGTCGGTTATTTGTGTTTCATAAACTTCGACGGGACTTCACTCTGCAGTGTTGTTTAACGTCAAAACGACGTACATGTATATATTTCCGTAGCCTTAACGTCTTCTGTCCTAGCCAGCCTATACAAGCTGACTCAGCATGTATGGAGGACCTCTCTATAATTTCGCTTGGTCCTCATACCTTAGTCTGTCTCACAGTCCCTGAACCACATTTATTTCCCTACTGCCAAGCCCTCTCTGCAGTGCTAAGGCCCCAAATAAAGCAAGTCTAGATTTCCTCAGGTTCTGAATCTCTGGTCTCCCTAGGGCTCCTATTCAGTATAAATGGGTTTGTTTGTTACTATCAAAATTATATATATTCAGAGACTAAGCCTTAGTCTATCCATACCTATGCTAACGTCCGTTCAGATCTTAATGTCTCACTCATATCCCGTTATTTTTAGAATACGTATCATATGGTAGTGATTTTCATGTTTCAATGACTGTTACGACTTTCACATGGCCATTTTCACATGCTTTCGATACATTTTTTTCAGTAAAATGATTGCTGTTTGCCCAAAATATTATTTTTTTTAGAATTAAAACATTCCCATTGTTTGTACATAAGGAGTACGAAAAGTCCTGTCGAGAACTCAAAAAAGTTAAACAACTGCCCACAGTCACGTGTGTGACACCAAACAAAAGACAAGATACTGTCATGAACACCTTGGCACATCCTACAAAGGTCATTCTTTAAAGTAGAACGGTGGGATAAATTTCATTACTCGTAGAATTATAATCTACATGTAGTCAGGACCGAAAGAATCAATCTTCGATATGTCTATTCTATTTGTCTTGGTATAGTCAGTGATGGATGTCCTTACCTTCTTCGGGCGGTGGGGTAACCTTGTGGTTAAAGCGTTCGCTCGTCACGCCGAAGACCCGGGTTCGATTCCCCACATGGGTACAATGTGTGAAGAACATTTCTGGCGTCCCCCGCCGTGATATTGCTTGAATATTGCTAAAAGCGGCGTAAAACTAAACTCACACACTCACTCATTACCTTCTACTGTTTGTCATCTGAATAAGAGTAAATAGACCGTAGTCTGTCTCACAGTCCCTGAACCACCTTATTTTCCCCACTGCCAAGCCCTCTCTGCAATGCTAAAGCCCTCTCTGCAATGCTAAAGCCCTAAATGAACCAAGTCTAGATTTCCCCAGGTTCAGTAATCTCTGGTCTCCTTTTCAATTTAAATGGGCTTGTTTGTTACTATCAAAATTATATATATTCAGAGACCAAGCGTCAGTCTAGTGGCTACTGGTGTGTCTCATGCTGGGTATTTTTTTTTTGGTGAATCTAATAACACGTTTTATATGAGGTGTATGAAAGCTTGCTGACGAATAGTGAAAAACCTTGTATTATGGTTGTAAGGGTTATGATGTAAAGACATCCTGTCACAACGTCATACATGCGTAGCTCTTATCACATGGTTGGAGTCACTCCAGCTTGATAACGGTATAAGAATATACATCGAAATGTCGCCAAATGCACTACACAAGAAGATGTTATCCATAAAATTGCATGTTTCCTTAAAGACAGCCTTGTTTTGCTGTGTGTATTTCCTTATTTGTTGCCACTTCTTTTGCTATGGTCGACGTGAGACTTAAAAACATGGGTTCGTGTTTTAACACTGCGTCGTATTTGGTACACCGTGAGCAACGCGTTTAGGGTCAAACTCTACACATAAAACATAATCAAGAAGCTGTAAGATGTTATTATAAATATTTACATTACCCCGTTGCAAAGATAACACAGATCTGGTTCCAATTTTCTATGAAGTGTTTCAATGAAAGGAACATTTCTTCACCTATTTTTTGGAAACGCAACTGTGCTGGGACTACTGATGGGTGATTCCCCTGCAATAGGTGCACATTTCTCAGTTGCCAGCTTGATGGTCGAGTCATCTGCAGTGAGATTTAACTTTTGATTTAGCGTCTTCTTATTGGGCTGTTATTTCGTTCAAGTGTATGTGAACTTTAAAAATGCATGGAATGTTGTTTCTGTGTCAAAACAAGGTCTAATAGAAAATACAACTTCATACAGTCTGTTTTGGCGGTCTAAAACGACCCCCTGTCGATCTGGACTCATTCTGGTATTAAAGTGGTGTAACGCCACGATATGTATACCTGTGATATTCATATGTCACATCATTGGATGTACATCATTATATCGTGGCAATATGGCCACGTTATGCCAATGTGACCAGCAACAAAGTGTGCACGCTATCTTGCAAAGAAAAAGCTTCATCTGTGTTACATAATTTCAAAAACACGAACCTCAGTCCAACTTCATTGATATTTTAGTAAAGATACAGATGAAAATACTTTTCCATAAGAATTGCTCTGTTAAAAAGATACAATCGCTTTTGCTTCGTGCTACCTCTTACTGTAACGACATCTTTAGCATGCCGTAACTCTGAGATGGTTACTGTAGTCGGCGACACACTCAAGCACAGTTCTCGGTTTGACTGGCCGCCCGGTCCACTGTTTGTCGCCCGTTTTAAATGGCCGTCTGGTCTTGTGTTCGTCACCCGTTACAAGACACCAATATTTCCCCCCGGGAGGCACTCATGCTAAATACTAGGATGTAAACACTGACCAACTACTCCACGATGACGGACAGGTGCCAACCTCATGCCCATCAAATAAGTCTCCTTCCAGAACCCCGCTGGCGATAGAGACAATTGAAAAGTCAAGCGTGTTATGGGAAAACTATGCTCACAGAGCATTGTCGGGGCACATCTGGTCGAAACTTAGTCATTTAAGTGTTTCTCATCTTTGATCATTGTGGCAATAAGAGTTCAAATAACAAAGAGACAGTAACATATTTGTTTCGATAACAAATATGTGTATAATTAACCTTGAAATAAGTTATATTAATTCATTATATATTTGAAAGGTATGCGCGCGTGCGCGTGCGTGTGCGTGTACGTGTGCGTGCGTGCAAGGGCTATGGACGACGGTCCTTTATCATGGACTCCTTTCATGAAGCAACCTTACTAAGGTTAACCTTAACTCTCATTCTTTAACATTGCACTAAGGTTACCTTAGTGACTTACGATCACCTTAGTGCTTTGTGAAAGGAGGCCCAGGGTGCCGTTGTACAAAGCGATCTTAGCGCTAAGGTGACCGTAACTGCCATACCTTAACATAGGCTTAAGGTAGCCTTAGCGCTAAGGTTGGTTTGTACAACGGCACCCAGGACATTAGGTATGGACACAATGGCTGACAGTATAGCAAATACAGGGTCACTATTGGGTACAAACATAACTTGCAGCATACATGTAATCATACATATCTTGAGGTCATGACTTTTAAGAGGCACATTATTACTAATTTCACAAAAATGATTAACACATACCTTTGTTGGCCTTTGTAGGACGCACTCAAAATGCTCAAAAACATTCTTGATTTATGAATAGTCAAATTCCTGCATTGTGCCGTCCAAGAATATATTGCAAAATACTTGTTTGTCACTAGTAGTTCATGTATGTCGTGTAAACGTGACATATATCTTATTATAGCTAGTGATTGCTGGTACATCAGTACTCGCGACGCTGACTGAATGACTCTTGGCATTACCATTATTATCATTGTTCTTTTTTGGTTCCAATCCATCTTCTCACGCGGAAATTTCCGTTCAGTGTAGGCACATTTATTCTTTTATGGGAATCATACGAAGATCAAGATGACCAACTAATGCTATGGACATTTCCCACGTTTTCAAAGATTATACGAGGTTGATATTGAGGGGTCTATTTCAAAGGTGTATCGTGTTTCATTACGAACTAAAACAGTCTATTCCGATTATCAAAGGCGTGTCTCTGGACCACCAAAGTATATTTCCGCGTGCAGGATACTTGTTTTCTTGGCATGAATACGCCGAACGATCAAATTATTACTATCTTGACATTATACGTACTTTCTCAGAAAGGAAAATATGGGGAAGAGGGAGGGGCAGGTCTTTGATTCTTACATTGTTCTAAGAATGAGCGTGGAAAATTGTGAAAATGACTTCCAAAGAAGCTAGTGAAGTAGGTCAGAATGTGGTTCACTTTATATCGTCTAAAGGTCACTGTGACATGTTGCACCTGGTTAGTTTTTCAATAGAACATGTTTTCACACGCTCCATACGGTACACACGCTTGTTACAAAATGTATTGGTCTGTTTCATTGGTCTAATTTATGGCACTTGATATGAGAAGAGATAGCACTGTTTCCCCATTCTTAGAAGTCATCAGTACCAACGGACATTACAGAAATTGGTTTTATATGTGTGTACATTGATTTATTTAGATGCACATCTAATAAATGTCCAAATGTTTAACTTTAAATATACTCCTGCCAATAATGGTTGTCGCCCCCTTCAGTGTTTTAATTGGAGGGGGGTGTGGGTGTGCGGTGTGTGTGGGGTTGTGGTGGGCAGGGGGGTGACAACCATTATTGGCATGAGTATATATACAATACAAATATATCCTTAGATTTTGAAGTTTACACCTATATTTAATGAAATCGTACACTTAAAATGGCCAGATAAGGATTCCAGAACACAATAGGCTGTATCCTCCTTGTCCGGAGAGCGACTTCAATGGGGATTAAAATTTAAATGTGTGACTAGACTGATTTGGAGCCATCGATAGCAGTGGAGTAGATTGCTGCTTATGTCATCAACCACTGTTTTACCTGACCTTGATAGTCTAAAAACATGAATCTTATTGTTCAGCAACATTCACTTATTCATCCGTGATATCTGAATAACATAACATTGCATAGACAAAAATATATTGTTTTTGACATGGTGCTATTCATAAATCCCGTTCGGTATAGAATAGTACAGAATTCAATGCACAGTGAATGTCTTGCCGGGCTTGTTACTGACGGTGAGCAACAAATACAACAGTATATACTATGTAACATTGGCTATATAAGGGTGTGAGTGAACAGCACAAGTCGCTAAGAATGGCTATAGTCAGTGTGCGAAGGCGTGTCTAATTACCAGCGGTATGGTGTTATCTTCACGAAATAAGGAATGATGCCATTTGTTAACCAACATCCTGTGCATTATCACTTGAGTTAATTGAAATTTTGAACATCAAATGAAAGGGCGTTTGTTTTCTTCGGTTCTGTTATAACATAAATCCACATTCAGACAATATGTTTTATGTTTGTGAAATGGTTTCTTGCAATGTAATGCAATATGCCTAATCATTGGGCGCCAAACTTTTGTCTGTCGTTTTGCCTGGACAGATCCCGTACATATATACAAATCCACCCTTCTGTTCATAAATACGTATTTTAAAGCTCTGTATATCATAGCCTGATAAACAAAATGTCAGCATGACTATTTGAACGGCATACATTCTGTGGTTGATTGCTGTTTTCAAGTATTTTCCGGTGTGAGAAGGCTAGCCCAGGAAATAGAAGAAATGTGGCTGCACAGCGGCCATGATAAAATCTGGTCATTTTTTCTGGTGCTGTAATGAAGTTGTGTGAAATTGGTTTGAAAAGTTTACAAATCATTTTGTTGAATTACATATATTTGTCTCTTGGGTTATGTTAAAATAGCATTTGTCAACATAAGAAGGGTTGACTAAAACTGATTTTATCTTGCACAGATTTGTATATTTTATGAGTTAGACAAGGAACTTTGTCCAGAATGTTGAGGAAATCAAATTTCGATTATTTTTCAATATTACCATGTTCACCTTTTCTTTGATGAAACCGAAATGCTACAATTCTGATAGAAATCCGTGAAGTGCTCTTAGAAAAAGCGTGAAATTGGCGCAAATATTGACGATGACATTTCCGCATAACTGTTTTTAGCATGCAATAAATTAAACACTTTTTAATCACGCTTGACAGTAACGTTTCATTCCATTCAAGTTGCATTGCTTCGCCAGCTGTTCGCCAGCATTCCCATTTACGCATAAGATTATTTAGGACACGAAACCATGATGATGTAAATATACAAAGGCGATAAAATACTGTTGGAACAGTAGATAAGTTGTAATTAATTCTGTTTGTATAGGGATGTAAAAGCTGATGCTTTCATGCTCGAATTACGGCTGGTTTGGGGGCACCTGTTTCCAACACACCAGACTTAACGTAGAGGACTGAATTAAATCCCCAATATGTCACGAACGGTCACGCTGTATTACTGAAGCCTTCGTCTACCATTGAATCATTTCAGAAATAAACTACTCTAAAACTGTAGCTACGAATACAGAGAAAAACTAATATACGAACACGACGCGACATGTAGATAAAAAGCATCTTCTTTGCAGTGTTTTCATTATTTCCAGCAGTGCCCAAGCCATTACTTAATTCCATTTAGGTATCCAACGTATACGCTCTTCGATAATACTATCATCGACATAAATTAATGCAAGCACAACAAAATCAGAATTATATCAATGGAATGTACATTATGCCAGGATATGTTTGAACACACCCCTGTTGGGGAGGCTTGTTGCAGCTATAAAGATATGAATACTTTTGTAATTATCACCCATTTCGTCACGGGCTATGGTGGTTCGAACATTATGTAAGGGTGTTCTACCTGATCGTTTAGTTTGACCATAAAGGTGTATATGCTGATTCTGTTTTCAAGGATACATTGAAGTAGTGCTGACATACATATCACAACCATCAATGCAGTGACTGAAATGACACAGACTGGTGATAGTGAAATTACAGTAGTAGTTAAATTTGTTATTTTATTGTTTATGTGTAACTTTACGCTGATGTAAGCAATATTGCTGGCTTCACAATATATATCACATTCTGTCAAATATTCGTAAATCTGGCCAACAACTTGGGGGATTTTAAGTCACTGTGCTATGAAAGTCGAGTGTCGAATACTCTAACAGCACTGACATAGCCCCATGAAAACCCTAAACATATGAAGGAATTTCGTTTTGAAATTGTGTCTCAATAACCTTTCTTGGTTACAGTCCAGGTCAGGTAACAATCAAGGGATATCAACGTCTTCTCAGAAACAACAGGGGTTTGAAACTCTCCCTATATGATTTAAGCAATGATTTCTTTTAAACGTATTGGAAGTACTACGATCAAATCCTCAAAGACCAGATTGGCTCATGTACTATATCCATGTATAACTTCTTAACAACTCGTTTGTTCTGAATATCCGGGTTTTTTCGCAAACGGATTAACCAAAATGACAAACAATAACCCTGTTGCTTAAATATAGAGCGTTTGAGATAAAATATCATCTTTTGAACTCATCTTAAGAAAGGGTCGTGAGATCTGTCTATGGGTATTAGACAAGGTTGCTCATCGAAGCAATATCAACGTGTCGAATTCGGTAGTTACTCTTTGGCTGTGTTTTGAAGCGTGATATATCTATTGAGTGTTACAAATCCATTTTACGGCCAACTTTGACTTTTATCCAGGCATATCTAGAATGTGAAAGAAAAACTTTAATATTGATATTGGCCTACTCTAAGTGAGTATTTTGTTCAATATATTGTAAACTACAAGACATTTGCTGCGAATAGCTGCAATATTGCTGATCAGGCGTTAAAGCAGTTCTCACTCATTCACTTAGACTAAGGCTTAGTCTCTGAATATATATATAATTTTGATAGTAACAAACAAGCCCATTTATATTGAAAAGGAGCCCTAGGGAGACCAGAGATTCAGAACCTGAGGAAATCTAGACTTGCTTTAATTCTAGAAAAAATAATATTTTTGGCACACAGCAATCATTTTACTGAAAAAAATGTATCGAAAGCATGTGAAAATGGCCATGTGAAAGTCGTTACAGTCATTGAAACATGAAAATCACTACCATATGATACGTATTCTAAAAACAACGGGATATGAGTGAGACATTAAGATCTGAACGGACGTTAGCATAGGTATGAGTAGACTAAGGCTTAGTCTCTGAATATATAATTTTGATAGTAACAAACAAGCCCATTTATATTGAAAAGGAGCCCTAGGGAGACCAGAGATTCAGAACCTGGGAAATCTAGACTTGCTTTATTTAAGGCTTTAGCACTGCAGAGAGGGCTTGGCAGTAGGGAAATTAATGTGGTTCAGGGACTGTGAGACAGACTATCATTCACTCTAAGTGGCCTATTTTTTATGAAGTGTTGAATGTTTCCGAACTTTTACATTTTATCAACAACCAATTTGAAATGTAAGCAATGTAATGTTAGATTTAGTGTTGCAAATCCAGAAGAGTGACATGTGCTGCAGAATAATGCTCATGGTCCCCAAACGTGAATATAGTGCTTCCTTTTCCTAAGATTACAACAGGTCAACAGATGTCTAACGCCTATGACTGATATTGTTTTGCATGTATGCGTCTGGCACTTTCATTACAATGAAGCTATAAACGATACTTTCATCAATTAAGTGAATTGAGTACAACTATTGGCAAACTATTCGTTTGGGTTTATTTTCAGCCTGAGGACCTTTCTATCATTCACACTTGTAACAGCATCCTGGCTACATCTTTCTAAACATAAATTTGATATTGGCTTTCGAATTTGGTATGGTGATCTTGAATGAACAATGCCTTGTTTCAGCAACAAATTCAGGTTGTTCTTATTTCAGACGGAACACGTGTCCAGGCCCCAGTAGATTCAAGAGAAGGTGCTGCCCAGGGTGGTCTCAGCCCAACAACAGTCGGAGATGCATTGTCCGTGAGTACACATGTTTATCAGTCATAACATCAATATTATCACGACACACATTTTCCTTCTGTGAGCCATTGTGAAGTAGTCCACATTCCTGGCTTGGAATGCTGAGTGCACAGACTACATATCCTCTGGTCACTACCCTCTGAAGCAGGGTTTCTCATCACCTGTTGTGCATTAATTCATCCTGAATGTATCTTATAAAACTGAATTAACAGAAGACTGGTATTTCTATTTTCTACAAAAGACATTAAAACAATTTTAACTATGTTGGAACAAGGAATCATCAACCAAGAAATACAAATACATTTTTCTTTCTCATTTACTGCTTTTGAAAATCAACTGCCAATATAAAGACTTCATGTACACCCTCTTCTTCACTTATTAGTCAATTTCTGATTGAAACAGCTAAATATCCATCAAATGATTTCATGGAGATTGAGGAAAAATAGCTACATTTCTGGGGCATGGAACTATGATGATGACTAGTATTCAGATGTTGTCTGACCACTGGACCACCACACAAATATGAGGTATTTTGGATGCACAAAACACCACATGGAATCAACACAGATGATTTGATGGAATTTCCTTATGGGATCCTGTGCACTAATATATATATTCATTCACAAGATGAGGAAAAATCATTCATGAAATTGTCAGATTTGTAAATGTACTCTTTGTCATATGTCAAAATATATTTGTGATTATACACTGAAACATGTGTAATCAAACCATATTCTGAGATTCCATATGACAGAGCTAAAATGTTAGGAGAATAAGCAAGATAGCAAAATAAGGTCAGCCTCTCCTAATGGTACATATAGTAGGAGGAATTGACTTAACAGAATTTTACACATAAGCATTTTGATGTGTAAATTTAAGAACAATACTCAGGATTAAATGTGTAACACATAATTAACGTAGGTAATGGTTCAGGTTCAAAAGGACAGATTTTTAATAAATAGTATCAATTAGTATTCTTTGAGGAGAAAAATTGAAAATCCCTTTCTCAAGGATTAACCCTAGTAGTTAATACAATAAAAGGAAAACCTGATATTTCTGATATTCACACAAAATATCTGAGACAAGTGGAATTAATACCATGTTGATTCTTTAGAAACTCAAAGGATTTGCCTTGTTTAGGAAAAATACAAAGTTCAGTTATGTCAATCTTTCCATTCACTTTCCACACTACTGTACCACCCCATAAAGTATTTGTCACTGGACATGCTAAACATAGGTACAGTTAGATCTCTTCAAAGGTGAAGGACAATTATGTCAAAAAATGAGGCTTTACTGAAGAAACAAGATATGAAATGCTGAACAAGTACATCAGTGACAAGTACAAGGACTCCCCACCTTGTTGTTTCTTCATACAATTTAACTGCAGCTAATCCTCTCAGATTGTCAAAATCAAAACAAGTAAAATTGTCCAAGAAGTTTGCCTTGAACTGCAGGTATATGGATGATCTGAAACTGTTTCATAAATGTCTCATTGAAGATTACCTTCAACTGATTTACCAAGTTGAACATTAAATAGAAGAACATCTGAAACCACCTCATTTGAGTCATGTTTAGATCCATGCATACGGGCTCATAGAGACAAGAACGAGGAATGACTTCAACTTTACAATAGTCAACTCAGGCTTTATGTCAAGAAATATTCCATCAGCTCTGGCTATTGGCATCTACTTTCCACAACTTTAGAGGGACAGTCATGCATGTTCTTTCTCAGATCATCATATATATCTTTCTTCAAAGTTATTTCATGAGGGTTACATTCAAGGTTTTCAAAGTTTTCAAAAGGTCTATGGTACACATGAGGAAATTTCAAAATATGACACATCAGTGACAAAAATGAAGTCCTTGACAATTCCCTTTTTCAACTTCTACCAGATATTCATGTATGTTTACAGGTAAATACATGCTTTTGTTTGTGTTTGTGATGGGTGCCAAAAATAGGTCTGTATATCGTCATGGTATCATCATTATTTAATAGTCATTCATAAACACATGCTTAGATATAGTCTGAATTATGCAATGGAATCTGTAGAGATTATGGAAAAGTTTTTTGTTGCTTTCATTTATTGAACTATACATACTGTAATGTCTGGGCTATGCCTAATTCAGCACACAAGCAGCGATCCTGAAAGACATTATATATAAGTATGCTATCTCTGTAAATCAGTGTGATGGAACATATGAGCCAAACATTATCAACTGGGATATGTGTTAGGTTATGTTTTTGTTCTTGTGGCGGTGTTATTTTCCTCCTGAAATTGGCATCACCTCCAGTATGCCTAAATATGAAACAGGATGTGTAACTTGGAACTGGCACAAAATGTGTATTCAAAATCAATTTATCTTAAATTAAATTACTTGAAGAGTGTAATGACCTCATACAATCTTACCTTGTCTCAGACAGCTTATCTGCAGTGTTTGTACTCCCTATATAGTTCCTGACAAATGTGACATGATCCACAGTTTATACTCTGCTTAAGAACATATATCCCACGTCCAAGACAACAAACCTAATGAGATTTAATAGGAGCTACCTTCACTGTCACTATATACAGGTACCTAATAATATACATGAATGTTACACCAATCATATTTATAGTAGTCGAACACTCACCAACATACAGCTTACATCTATTACCTGTATAGTATTACAATCATCTAAAGTCATTTGGTAAAATAATATGCAAAGTATTGTGTGCTTTCTATTTTTCACTTGCTTCAGTTGGATTAGTAGTGAAAGGGTTGTACATGTCTACTTTGGCTACACTGTTTGATAAAGGCTCATCCGATACTGATCTGTATTCTCTATCAGACTCTTTTCTTTGTCAAATTAATAATATTTCATTAGATTGAGACAGTCATCACTGTAGCAGATGATGGTTATGCTGAAGACTTGGAGTAAGCAACATATTTCAAAAACAGTGTTCCCCTTTATTTAACAAACAATATGAATTACAAAAACAACAAGCCAACACAAAGACAATATTCACATAACAACAGCCAACACACAGTGATATGTAATGTGTGTTTGTATTGCAGCTATCTGCATATCTGGCTGTGGATCCGGTGGTCGATGTATGCGGCCAAATGTCTGCTTGTGTCAAAACAGACAAATCGGACCTTCCTGTTCACGTAAGATTTACTTTCAGCTGTATGAAATAGCCGTGTCAGGATGTGGCACATGTATGGGGATTTTTCTGCTTTACTTTCTGCTGGTGAAAAAGGCTGAATTTGTTAATAAGTTTTGTGTTTCTTTCTGTCACTTTCCATGATATATTACAAGATTCTTTACACATTCTCATCTCTATTTAATTTGTTTCGAGATTGAGAAGTTTAAACATTTGGATAGTCATTGATCTGTACTTTACACTGAAAAAAACCACTATTTATTGAACTGCACTTAATGATATGATTCTTAATCACAAATGATCAACACAAATCCTTTAAGCACTGCCTAATTATTGAGTTGTTCCAGAATACATAAACATGTTTTCTGTTATAGCCTGTAATCAGCCCTGTGTGAATGGTGGACGGTGCATTGGGCAGGACCGATGTTCATGTCCATATGGTTTTACAGGAAAGCAATGCCAGCAAGGTTAGCTTACCATTTACCATCCACCATATAATCAAGATAAATAGGCAAGAAGCCTGTTGTAAAACTGGTGTCCACATGCTGTGTATGGACTTAAAAAAAGGCCTTTGTTTACAGCATCCTTTGCAAGTTTTGCACTTATTTTTACACAATTATGTTTACAGTCTGACAGTTTTTGCAACATTGTTTAAGTAACATGTATTAAGTTATATATTCACCTGTGCTCTTTTCTTAAGAGTGGGTGTACGAAACATGTATTACAATATGTTTCGTACACCCACTCTTAAGAAAAGAGCATTGTGAGTTTTTACCCTGGTTCTATTACTGTCGTAGGTAATGTGGGCATAGATCTAATTTCCTTAAGTGCATTAAACGTATAAAGAGTTTCACTGCAAGTGTTCAACACATTACAGCATATTTGTGCACATCTGTGTTTAAAAGAGGGTGGACCTGAATGCATAATGTACACAAGTTAATAACCCATTAAAACCAGACTGTTTTCCTAATTTTAGCTGTTTATTGCTGACTCAGTACATTTTGTAAATCTCTTTCACATTCTGTTTGCAACTAACTTTTAGTTATTAAATGTCAACTTGAAGTTTGTTATCTGGCAACATTAAATATCTTGAATTAACAATTCACATCCATTTTACTGCCTCCTGTTATTTGAGTAAATCCCTGAAATAGTGTCTGTTCAATCTCTAACTCTGATAATGCTAAATGCTCTCTCTTAATATGAGGTCTGTCACAAAAGGATACAAGAATAAATGGGATCTGTGATATGAAGTTGTAAAGGTGAAAGTCGTGTGAGCTTATGTGATTAGGCATAATCCATAGCATCACATTTAGCTTTCCTAATAAATCATGTTAAAAGTGGCAATATATCCAGTGCATTTGCTCAGTGTTGAATGTAAATATACATGTATTTGAAGAGCACAACCATTCTCTTGGTACTTTACACAAAATATATCTTTCAAATTATTTACATGGATTTTACATGGGATCATATACAATAACAACCATTGAATCAATGAATTGAACCATATTTAACATATCTAGTTAGCAGTGGAGCTAAGCTTATATGTTCTTTTCTTCAGCAAAATTTGGAATTTAGACTTTCACTTGACTATTGCACCATTCTGATTTCTTAAACTTTTTGTGACCTGACTCAACCATTTTGTTTCAAAATGTCATGAAATTTGGTATTTATGTAGTTATTATGGGCACCAAAGACACAGAAGTTAGAATAACATTTAGTATGTATTAGGCTAGTTGTGGTGTTCAGCACATAATTGGACATTTTTTCTTCTGCTGTACCTAGTTTTAACCATACCCACAAGTTTCCACAAACTGTATCTTTGTTTCCTTTTTAAGACTGATGTAGCTGAACTGCCTCTATGTATTTCCTCATGACGACAACATATTTTGATCAGTTCATTTGGCCAGTGCTAGAGTTTGATATCAGTGCAGGACACAGTTGAATATGATTGCTGACAGCACATTTTCTTTAATAGTGGCTGTTAATGGCATTTTAACAGGTTAGCTACAGGTGTGAATTAGTAATAAAGATTTGGTACTCAAGGTATTTTAACTGTGTTCCATTTCTTCTTTATTTGTATTTTAGATTATCGAACAGGGCCCTGTTTCACCCAGATATCCAACAATATGTGTCGGGGACAGCTAACTGGTGTTGTGTGCACAAAGATGCTATGTTGTTCAACAATTGGTAAGGCTTGGGGAAGGCCATGTGAGCAGTGCCCAACATCAACCCACCCTTGTCGAAGAGGGTACATCCCCAACCCCCAGGGAGACACTTGTATAGGTGAGTACACACATGTGACTTTTGGGAGGGTGATGAAATTCATTTGAGAGTAAGAATGTTATGCATCTAATAGTCCAGTAAATGGACTGAAAATGACCCAACATACATGCACAAAAAACTGATAGGTCAGGCCTCTAAACTTGGTTTCCAGTTTTGAAAATTCATTATTTTGCTCTTAAATTATTACATTATATTAAACCTGAGAGTATTTGAGATTAATCCCTTCGAAAGTGTCCTTTACTGTTGTTGATAATGTTCATCAATTAAGGGTCAAATTTTGTTTAAATTACAAAATTTTTGGTAATGCCATACATATGACATAATGGTAGTTATGTAAATCAGTTTAAAAAAAACTTTAATATACATATTCAGTGAAGAAAGTTTCCATTCATTTGGGGTTTTGTCCATTTTTTATCAGATTAATTAACAAATGGTGATAATAGATTAACTTGGAAAATGAACCCCAAAGCAAATTGCACCCAACAAATATATAATGATAGGCTTCATTTAACATGTTTTTAAAAGGATTTTTACAGTGAAGAGGAACAATATTGTATGAAAGTTATTAGTTTCACCAATATCGTAGAGCAGAAGTAAAGGATTCCTATTGTTGCAGATGTTGATGAATGCCAGGCTATCCCCGGTCTGTGTGTGGGAGGCAACTGTGTCAACACCCTGGGGTCTTATCGCTGTGAATGTCGAGAGGGACAGACACAGAACCCCATAACCAAAGTTTGTGAAGGTAAGGAGAGACAATTGTTCATACACCAGAAATGATGACACAGATTATGTTGTCGACTCCAAATAAAAGAATATCACACAGTGGTTATTGCACTTGTTCATTAGACATATAGCATATATTCAATACACATATTAGAAATCTGTTGTGTAAAAGAGATAGCAAACACTATGTAGATGTATTCAGTCACATTTCAAATGATATGTTATATCAAACTCATTGAATGCAATCCTTCATCATGAATTCATGGATTTTTAGCCCTTGATAAGCTATAAGCAACTGGCACTGAACACATTGTCTAGCTAACATAAATATGTGGAGTGTTCTATTCTTGTTGTTGGAGTTTATACTGGTAAAACCACCTGGACTGCATTCTTTATTGTTGCCTGATAGGTTTGTGATATGTGAAAACAAATCACACTTGGAGAATTGCTGTTCCAAACATCTTGCCTTACACATTTACAATGAATTCAGTGCATCCTACAACCTATGCACCAACTAAAATCAATTTTGAATATAACCGAACTTTCTTTTTGGGATATGTTTGGTAAGTACATTTGTTCCATGTCTGCTTTGGCAGAACACTTTAGAATTAAGAGGCAAAGAATGTCTCTTTACATGTTTTGATGTACATACCTGCACTCACTTCAACAAATATTGGGACACCTTTTGAGGTAATAATGCCTCCTTCTTCTCTTGTATGAATCCTAACTGTTGCATGTATCTTTAACATTGTGCAACCTAGCTTCCATATCAAGAGACATGCCATGGAAATGTACCATTCAAGCATGTGTTAGTATTTCCATATTATTAGACATGAAAGGAAAAACCTACTACAAGTAATACCCAGTGTGATATTGTTTTCTATTTACCAAAGCTGATTTAATAGTGATAGTTTAGAGGTTCCAAAAATAATACCACCTGATATGGAAAAACAAATGCCAATTTATGATATTTATTGTTATATAAGCAGGCAATCCTAATGGGTCATAGGCTGAAAAATTGTAAAAACCATTGCAAACTGAATGTAACTCTGCATGTCATACAAGTGATGCAATGCAGATAATGCCAGGAACTTGCCTGTAGGGCTGCAGTGGAACACATGTTGCAGTCAGTTTGGAATCAGGGGTCTCTGTGTGGAGTGTATACACAAGTGCATGCTCAAGACATTGACCCCACAATCCGGAGTGCACTGAATCAAATGCAAAATATCAGGTTACTATGATTTCTACGGATTGAGGGTTTATATATTGTTTTGGGTATAATTAAATATTATTTTCCTCACAGTGAAATTGTTGCAAATTTACCCTGTAGTTTCTTTTTATATAAGCTTTTCTTTCAAAATATATACCAGTAGAGCCATTTTATTACTAAATGATGTAATGTTATGTTCTCCATCCTTTTACTTAAATGTATCTGGTAAATATACATCTTTGTAAACACTGCTAACTAGAATGGTATTTAGTTTATTCATATCCTCCTTAAGAGACACCCAGCTAACAATTCTTTATCTCCCCATGTTTATCCATATCCTCCTTAAGAGACACCCAGCTAACAATTCTTTATCTCCCCATGTTTATCCATATCCTCCTTAAGACACCCAGCTAACAATTCTTTATCTCCCCATGTTTATCCATATCCTCCTTAAGAGACACCCAGCTAACAATTCTTTATTTCCAATGGCAATAGGTATCAATCTTCATAATCTACGCACGTCTTCAGGTTTCCCTCATAATATAAATCTAGAACTGATAACAGATTTGAATGTAAAAGTTTCAACAGGGCCTTCAATCACTGTCACCAGTGCCCTTTTTAAGGTGCTCGCTGCTGTAGCAACACATCACTCAAACAAGTAGAAATAGCCTTATCTAGATGCTTATGTTTCACAGCTGAAAATTTCCATTAAAAAATTAATGTTCAAAATGATAGGAATTTGTGTTGTATTCCCAAGATTAATAGTACAAAAATGCCACAAAAGCAATTATGAAAACTCTAAATTTAATATGATCTCATTAAATGGGATTTGTTAGATGATCTGTGAAAGAATTCTTTAGTATTTGTGACTGAAGATGTTACCTTAATTTTGAATTCATGTAAAAACTCCTGTAATTTGATGTGATATAAAAATTAGCAGCTGTGATTTGAGTACTGGATGCTCATTACAGAACTAAAGCACGTTTTGCAATTACCAGTTAAGAAGATAGTTCCAGTAACAAGGTGATTCTCCTGAATATGATTCTATACATCAAATGAAAACAGGACAACCAGATGACCATTGCAAGTGTTAAACTGATGCTATGGTCATCAAGCCACATAATCTGTAAAAGGTTTGCGTAAACTGCAATAAGTAAATGTTCTGAAAATAAGAAACACTGTGATATCATTTTCAGATATAAATGAGTGCGAGATCATTCCACGGATATGTGAGAACGGACAGTGTACAAACACAGAAGGGAGCTACTTCTGTACCTGTAACCGTGGATACGAACCAAATGCTGACCGCTCTTCTTGTATTGGTAAGTAAAGTTTCCCTAAAGATTGGATAAAGGAAGAACCACTGATTTTATTTTCATCTTACAAGACTTTCAATTTTTCTTTCTTTCTTTTTTCTCCTGATTACCACCAATTTACTTCATCACACAATAAGATTTTTTCTCCTGCATTGTACCATGAAGTGAATTGAATGAACTGTAAACTTCAAATTTGGTATGCAGCAGTGTCATATCTTGCATTTTTCCAATATTGTCAGAGGAATAGGGGTGATGGTGAAAACACCAGAATTTCTGTGATGCTTTAGTTCATACTTCTAGGCTAGGCAATGTATGGTGAATTCTGACGATCATGCTATGGTTTCCTGATTCTTTCTTCATGCTTTGTATGTTCAGACTTTGAAATGTGAATTGGGTAAGTAGCTGAAACTTCCGCTAAGGGACTGCAACATTCCATTTATCCCTTGCCTGTGTAACCCCCGCTAATTCTTTTCAGGTGTATTACTCGTGTTGAAAAATTGGTTATTTCCCCTTCTTATAAAAACTACATGAGGTGTGGGCAGTCAGAGTTAGGGGAACAATTTCAGCTATTTTAATGGCATTTTTCATGGCAAAGTGCACATGGCGTATACACCTGCGGATACATGCTACATGCAATTGTGCATGCTGTTTTCATTTCTTTCACTTCCTGTACTGGAAACACATGGATTGTAAAAACAACATTAACCCCATGGGTCTTGTGATTTGGGTGTTGCATTGAAAATGTGTTAATGTGGTTTTAAAGAGTTAAAGCTCAGGCTCTTAGGGGAAGCTCTTTACAATGGAGGGATGTGACACATCCAGGTCAGAGGTCAAATAAAATTAGGAAACCCATTTCAGCTTTAGATGGTTCACACATGCTCTGTTGTATAGCTCCATGCTCAACATGGTCAGACTCAATGAAAATCCACTATGCAGAACACACTCTCAGATTTCATGATGTACACTTTCAATTCTTAGATTGTTAGTCCTAACATATTCTTTGTCATTGAACCTTTCCCTATACAATGGGAGCATGTTATTAGCATACAGTATGTAATATGAAGAGGGTCTTGGCTTTTCTACATCTGCCACAGATTGCATGAGTTCTCAAGAAATGAAGTGCAACTTTTATGTGTAGTGTGTGATCTTCATGTCAACATTTGGGTTGAAAAAGAGATATTTTTGCCACAAGTGTCATTAAACTTTATTTCCTTCTTGCAGGGCTTTAGACATTCCAATGTTTCATGGAAAGGGAAGAAATTTTGAAAATGGGAAAAATATTTATATGCACATATCTCATAAAAAAGGTTGTGATCATGTGAGGCAGTATGTAAGAAACTCTTATGTGGATAGTTTATGGAGGAGTTGGTGTTTTTCTCAAGCACATATTCACTGCATACAACTCAAAGAAACTTGTCATCTTTTGCAGTTTTTGTATATTAACAATATTCCAGGTTTCATATTTTGATGATAACTAAACCCATTTCAAGTCTGTGCAGGTCATCATTACAAGACCATATCTGCTTGTTAAGGACACAGACTAAATGCATACATGAACACCACATGTCCAAACACTTTTGACAATTACTAAAGTCTGATATTCTGCATTCTTGCAGATTAAATGAACTAGAAAAAGGCATTTATCTTTGAATCCAAGATAACCTGGTATCCTTAGCTAGTAAGATGATAAAATTGTTATTTTGTTCAAAATTAGTTCAAAATATATTTTCACACTGCAGTCAATACACTAAGGTAGAACTAAGCATTAAAGCATCTTCCCCTCCATTGTTTCAGTAAATAATGAAACTTAAGATATGTAAGCCAAGCTGACATATCATTCAGAATTGTTTGACATGAACTGGTAAATTACCAATTCTCATTTTGGAATTTGTATTGATATGTTCTGCTGACATGGGTCTGAATATTGGCCTTTGAGCAGTCGTGTATCAGTCCCTAAGTTTGTATGGTGAATGAAAAGTGACACATCATAAGAAATGTCACTGACAGTATGTCTTCCCATACCACCTGTTTTACATTTGATACATATATGGTAAATCCTTCAAAGCATGAAACCTGTTTTAAGTAGGATCACACTGAGCTTGTCACTATGTAGGTTTTGTTCATGAAGTACAGATATAGATCAGGCAAGTGATATTGGTGACTTTGTGTCAAGGCTCAATATTCATTGTATCTGGCTAATGATCTTCTTGTATGAACTATGTTTATCATTGCAATTATTAGGCAGGGATAACGTTTCCCATTAGTCCTGGTAAGTTTGTATGGTATTAAAGGTAAGGTTAGTGGCATTTCAGACTGTTTCAAGGTTGTCCTGATACGTTATTATCATTGGGTCAGTAACTATTTCAGGGTTATGTCAGTCAATGTAAAAATGGAAATGATTGAATTGGTGTATTGTCAAGGTTGTCTCGGTGTCTCGGGTATCTCTAGTTAGTGGTATTTGGTGTAACATTCGGAATTGGTAGAACAGATACAAACTTACTATGGTATTTGGTTATGACATCCCTCTGTATTCATTACACAGTACAGGGATAGAAATAAATATTTTCTAAGTGTGCCATAGGGCACCAGACAAATATTTTAGGTATGGCTTTCAGAAATCAAGTGTGCCCACATGTTTTTAGAATAAATGACAATGATGATGGTCATTTGAAATTTATTGTTATTATGTTAAATAAAGAAATGGGTTTATGAGCATTCAAATATGTATGGTATTATTCAATTTTGAGAAAAATAATTGTTTTGGGGATTAATTGACTAAATGTGAGTTATGTCTCCAAAAAATTAGGTGTGTCATAAGGGCACCGAAAAAAGTTTTTAGCCGTGTCATTTCAGTATTTACCGTGCCATGGCACGCTAATATATGGGGTATTTCGAACCCTGCAGTACATAGCTTTCCTAGCTAAGCCAAAACTATGGTTCTTTGCTTCAATAAACCATGGACCTAAATACCATTATTTTGGTCTGTGTTTAAACATAGTCAGTTGAAATAAGATGTCATTTCATCTCTGTTACATGATCCTGACTCTCAAAATTACTCTGTATGTTCAAGTCAATTCTAATATTGGTTTGAACCTTTGAGTCAATTCCATGAAACTGTCTCTGTGATCAAGTGGACAGAGTGTCTGTTCAGAGAGCAGGAAAGCCCTTCATTTTCCGGAGACATATACACCGTCTACAAGAATCAAAACAGGCACCATAAACACATGACAGTTTCCTCTTGTGATAAGTAACAAAGTGGCTCTTTTGTTGATAGTGTGATATTGGCAAAAACTTTGCAATTTGCCCTTCCTTTGTGTTTTAATACAGAAACCATTATAAGGGTTGGCCTATGTAGGGTGACATTTGAGAGAAGTACGACACGGTGCTGTGACCTTCTAACCTCCATATTTGCTCTATTGGAAGTACTTTGATATTTTGTATGCTTTGTATCCCCCGAACTGGATACACTGATGAAGCATATGGCAGCAATTCGACCACCCATTTCATACTATTTTCCTGTGTCATATTTACCAAGTGTGGCACAAAACCTATCACGGGTGGAGTTTCCTGATATTGCAGCGAAGCTTGACGTTGTTTCCATTGAGCATTTCTGTAGAATCTTGAGTTCAGCTTGTTCATAAGAGTTCTGTCATACCCTGCAGTGTAGACATGGTTTTCAACACTAAAAACATTCCTAAGTTATTATTGTCGCCATATTTCTTATTGTGTTTGACCTGCACTGACATTAAAATTTGGGATTTTAAAACATTCCATTTAGGTTTCTCTTGATTTTCAATTCCAAACATATTAACAGCAACCTTGGCTATTTAGTATAAGACTTCATATATGAAAGTGCCTTTGTTTCACAATCCCACCCACTGAAATAGGAAATAGGTATATTTTATAAAGCGTAAGTTAAAACAATGGGTCATATAAGGCCAAGCAGTTATATGTTCACCCACACTTTTCCATTTATTAAACAAACAAGACAATGTTTCATTTTAAAACAATGCAGCTAGCAACAATGGCAAAATAAACAATGTATCCTATTCTATTATATATGGTTTAAAAAAGTCTAATGTATTGCATGCAAGATAACAATTGGTTCCAAGCCGTACTCAGTAGAGTGCATATTTTGTGAAATACATGTAGTTCTTTGAGACCTGTGGTGCTTCTTAACATGCTTTAAGGAAAACATTGCCACGAAAACATGAATAAAAATCAATATTTGACTACTAAAATTAATAGAATATCACTTTTTCAAAATTATAGATAGCATCATATGTCTCTGTGTGTGTGTGTATATATTTATTTATTTATTTATTTATTTATTTATTTATTTATTTATTTATTTATTTATTTATTTATTTATTTATTTATTTATTTATTTATTTATTTATTTAAACTCATTTTCATCACTTTTGCACATTTGTGAAAAGGATTCAATCAAGAATAGCTTTGTTATTAATGTATATTTATATTGATTCCCTGGATAAAAGGTTATCAAAAATGGAATCAAATTTGTTTCTTTAAGACGGCAAATACTTTTGTCTTTATTTACTGCAAGGCACATATATTACACTGGAGATTAGAAAAGATAGGCATTTTACCTTCTAATGCAGTATGGTAAAGAAATATGTATTTGTAAAAACAATTTTGGAAACAAGAGTTTGCCAGGTACGGTACATTTAACAGGACCTTCTGGACTAACATCACCAAGCAGTTTTCAATCGTCTGGTGTCTTCAATGCACCAAAGTTGCCTCACTTGTATCAATGTAAATGGTTGTCACATCAGACGTTGTAAATTGAGCTTTTATACCACCCTTCTTTCATGGAGTGTATCTCTGTGTCTTGTTATCAGATATTGGTTTGTCAATGAATTTGATCAGATAAAACATTGATCAGACACATAACCAAATATTATCTTCTTATTGTTACACCAATATAAGAAGCACCATCCTTTGTTTCTGCTAGTATACATGCAACTACATGAAAGCTAAGCAGTTGTACTTTGTAGTCATAGCTATGCAAATTTACGATACATTCTTAACCTTGTTTCTCCTTCCATTACAATATTTTCATGTGATACATGGAAAACATTTGAAGTTCAATTTTTTCCCAAATATATCTTCTCTGGAATGTAAATTCTCAACAGGTTTTATTCTCATAAGACAAATTAGAATGAATTAATGCTGTCTGGTATTCATTACATTCACCACTGCCATTGTGGTGTTGACATGACCAGTTTACATGGGTCTGTGCAAGACCCAAACTATCAGTCATGTCAGCTTGAGGGACATTCCACATGTATACACTGCAGTGATCTTGTTCCCTCTTTGAAATACAGGAATGCAAAGTGCATGGGTGTATTTCCATGTATCATGTTTACCTGTTAATTGTTCCAAACTTGTAATGATTAAATACTGGTGAGTGTGTGGGCGGGGTGGGCGGAGGTGTTGACAGTCAATCCATCATTGTGTAATTGTCAGATTTTACCTTGTGTCTGTATATAAGATGAGACAGGTCATATTTATTGCAATACATTTCATTAAACAATACAAACAATGTGAAAATCATGTTCCATACCAAATTACAAAAACATATCGCATATGCATACATAAAGGCAAGGATAAAACAAAATAATTTAAATCCTTAATAAAATATTTAAAATGATTGATATGTTAATGTGTCGTGAATTATTGTTTCAAATAGGAAAACAAATGTTTTTGATTGAAGTAACATCATTTATGGAGAAAATATGATGGAACAGGCCATCTTCATCAAAATTCTTTATTTTGGTAACTTTGTTAGCTAATTTACTTCATACTGGTAGTCTCTCTAACCATGTTTGCTGGACCAGTGTTGGCAGTGTTGTGGGCCTCTGCTAACTTTGCTTCATGTGCTCAGTTGGGTGTTGCTAACGCTGACTAACAGAATCAAAGTTTTCAGAAGTAAATAGGTAAATGTTTTGGGGGATTTAAGAGAAGAGTCAGTGTCCAAGATTTCATTTTGTATAAAATGATGGATCCAATTAGTGATTCTAACAGTTTGCATGCTTAATATGTAGGGATATCTTTCTTGAAAATGTTAGTTTGGTTTATGTATTAAGTTATCATACATTCTTATGCAGAAGTTTGACACATCCTTCCAGATGAATTAAAAGTTCCAAAATATTATTTAAAACACAATGTTTCACTGTCGATATTCCATGTCAGTTTTGTATTCAAATTGCTGGGTTTGCCAAATATAATGACTTTATAATAGTTCTATTCCATGTATTTCCTGTTTGTTATAATTGCAGAAGACATAAATAATATGCAATAGGTTTTGATGTTTAATATCTGACAATGTTTGTTATTGATTGTTTGTTGTTTAATGCCACACTCAGCAATATTCTATCTATGTGATAGTGGTCTGTAAATAATGTGGAAGGGGTCGTTGTCAGCATGGGTACCACAGATGTGTAACCTTGGTATGTTTCTATAAACAGAATTACAATACAGAAACATACCCCATCCCGCATTGTGCCATTTTCTTGATAGGAACTGTCATACTGTTGTATTAGATGCATTTGATTGTCTTTTAAAAGAAACAAGCATACACAGTAACGAATATTTCACGATGCACAACACCACTCACAATGTGTTAACGGGAACAACTACATACTGTTTCGGTTTTGATATCAAGAACAATTACAATATGATGACATGCAATAAATATTGACACAGGTTGAAAGATATTCAGATTATGTAGCATTACAACTTTTTGTTAGAATGAAGGCATGCACAAGATGCGTTCTTCTCTGTTCCTAATGTTAGATGGGAATGTTTGTGACATTCTTTAACTAATCTATAGCCTATGTGAATATCAGTTTAAAGTAATGATACATGAAGTACCTTCCTGGAAATACTAACTGATGAAAAGTTAGAATAAAAACAAATCAGTTTCAGTATTATGTGACTAGAACTGAAGGCCGAACTGAGTTATAACAGAGTGTGCTGCTTGTCTGTCTGCCCATTAACTTTCAACTTCTTTTCAAAGAGAGATTAACCTGGTATCATGGCATTAGCCAGACAAAAAGAATCAAACTCGAAGAATCAGAGACATTTATCTGATTTTTTGTGGCAACAAAACATATTTTAACATTTTCCTCCCAGTAAAACAATATCAAACAAAAGATCTAGAATACTGATAAATCCTTGTGGTTAAAGCATTGGTTCATCATGCGTGAGTTCAATTCCTCACATGACAGACAGACATGGGAACAATGTGTGAACCCATTTCTGGTGTCCCCAGCCATGATGTTGCTGGAATATTGCTAAGAAAAAACAATTAAAAGCCAGTGATTGAGCTGGAACTGTGTGTACATGCTAATCAGACTTTTTATCACAATATCTGATGACATGACACAATAATGGAGTAGAAGAGGAAGACACGACAATGAATGATTTCTGTCATGTCCTTTTGTCTGCAACAAACACTGATGAAGTAGCTTGTCAGTCACATCATGTAAACATCAGCTGGTATGTGACAAAAAACTCATGTCACAGGCATGCCAAGTTTATTTATATAATTTCTAAAATTTGTTTCAATTGTCCTCAACATGACAACACTTTATGGGGGTATATGAAGGTAATAATAACAATAATGCATTGCAGTTATTAAGTTGTCATGGTGGAGTTGACCTAGTTACCTAAGACACACGTTTTGCTGTGTAGCGCTGCATCCCTCAGGAGAGCCAGAAACCTATGACTGTTGGTTGGAATCTAGACTAACGCTTAGTCTCTAAATATATATAATTTTGATAGTAACAAACAAGCCCATTTAAATTGAGAAGGAGCCCCAGGGAGACCAGAGATTCAGAGGAACCTGAAGAAATCTAGACATGCTTTATTTAGGGTTTTAGCACTGCAGATAGGGCTTGGCACTAGGGAAAATAATGTGGTTCAGGGACTGTGAGACTGACTAGTTGGAATCCTGTCTGCCCAGGCTTCCTCTCACATCCAGCAGCCACACTATGATATAACTGAAATACTGTTCTAATCTGCATTAACTCACTCACTTAAAGAGGTAGAAATAATAGTAGAATCATTGTTATGGTCCTGTTGTGATCTGTAACTGTTACTTAAAATTCTATTTTTCCAGACGTGAAACAGGGCTATTGCTACACAAGTGTCATCAACTTGAACTGTCAGAGTCGCATCTCGGAGAAGACATCATTCCAGGACTGTTGCTGTATGCTGGGCAAAGGCTGGGGAACAGGGGAACAATACTGCCAGCCTTGTCCACTCAAGGACACAAGTAAGAAAATGATGTACCATATCTGCTGAGTGATGATTAGATAAATATAATCAGATTTAACAACAGTTCTTAAAATCTGAATTACATAAATAAATACACTTAGTATTCTTTATCCCCTTTCATGAAGGAGGGTGATATAGGAATGGGTGTGGTCCGTCCATCCTTCCATCATTCTGTCCTGCTGTCTGTCCTTCCTGTTCCATTTCTAGAGCATTACTGAATAATAATTCGTGACGAAACTTTGCATTTGTATCAAACACATGCTGAACTGGTAGCTTATGATATTTTGGTAGTCTACAAAGAAAGTTTTCCTCATGTTTTACAATGGCATAGTGTCTGCAATGGGGACAACTTTTCTTAGAAGTTCCATGTGTGAAATTTTGCAATCTTATCTAAGAGATACATAACAAGTAAAATGTGTTCCATAAATAACATTTTCCAGAGAAAGGACCTTTTGTGTGTATTAATTTGACATTTGATCAGATTTTCTGATGAGCCACAAGCCACACTTGTATCTATCTCATTTGAAGGCTTAATGGACTCTTTTTTATAGTTTGAATTAAGTTCTAAACTCTCTTCTTCCGGATCATGGTATATTACACAAAAGACATTGTCAGAGCAGGCTATAAAGGTTTTGTCGATGCTAAGGTCTCGAATCCCAAACTTAATGAATCTTTCATCTCGGGTTTTGATGCATATTTTTGATGTCAAGTTTATGCCCATCCTATTATATGGTAGTGAAGTTTGGGGTTTTCACCCCTCACCCTATGTTATTTGAGTTCATGATAAGTTTTTAAAGGACATTTTACACCTAGGTAGGACTGTACCAAATATTGTGGCTACAGGCGAACTTTGACGTTATTCTGTTAAGGTGAATCAGCATGTCAAGATAATCAGTTATTGGCTCAGATGAGTATACCAACCGGATAATGCTATCTTAAAACATATCTATTTCTACTAATATAAGCTGGCAGAAAATGGAATTAATTGTTGGGCTCTCAAGGTAAAAAAATAATTATTCAGTTTAGGATTTGGCTTTGCTTGGATACAACAGGGTGTTGAAAATGTTAATAATTTTCTAAGTATGTTCAAGCAAAGATGTGTGGATACTGACAAGCAACTATGGTTCGATAATTTAGCCCATTACTCCAAGTTAAGTTTTTATAGACAAATTAAAGTGAATCACAGGTATGAAAATTAATTATCAGCTGTACCAATTCATGTTTACCGTATAACGCTCTGTAAATTCCGCTGCTCAAATCATAATTTAATGATTGAGGTTGGTAGAAGATGTAATATTCCACCAGAAGAAAGATTGTGTCCTTTTGTATTGTCATTGTTCAAGAATCTGAATTCCACTTCTTGTTACAATGTCCATTTTATTCAGACCTTAGAAGTAGTACTCTACCCATGTATTACTGTACATCACCGTCTTTACAAAAAATATATCTGCTTTGTAAATCTGATAATGAGTACACTATTAACTGTCTTGCAAAGTATGCTTTCCTCGCATTAAAAAAACGTGCAAAGTTTTTTAAGTTAATATAATAACATGTATTTATATATGTACTCATTATAACTATATGTATTCATTACAATTGGTGCTCCTTAAAGTAACACTATTGTTATATTGCCTGTACACGTAAAATGGGCCGGTGGTACAATTCGTGGTACAATTCCTGTTGCAATGTCCATTTTATTCAGACCTTAGAAGTAGTACTCTACCCATGTGTTATTGTGTTTCGCTGTCTTTACAAAAGTGCATTTGCTTTGTAAATCTGATAATAAGTACATTATTAACAATCTTGCATAGAATGTTTTCCTCGCATTACAAAAATGTGCAAATTAAGTCAATATAATGATAATATGTATTTATATATGTACTCATTATAACTATATGTATTCATTACAATTGGTGCTCCATAAAGTAACGCTATTGTTATACTCCCTGTACATAAACAATAAACAACAATTAAGTTCCAAACAATCCCCAACTATATGAATATACAAAATTCTACTATGCCCATGGCGAGGGATAGCAACAGCATGGTTTTCTTGTTGTCCAGAGAGGCACTGTTGAATATAGTAACAGCATTATTCAGTTAGGTACTGTGGAGGAAGCTGATAAAATTGCCCAGTGCAATACTGATGTGAACATTCCCATGTTAGAGGATAAACTACTTATTGCGAGTGAGTAATATTATTGTTCATTAAAAATGACATCATGTAGCTACATTTATTGTAAAAAATGTGTTCTGATGTTTTCAGTAAACATTTCAAAAGTTTTACAACAAGCTCAAGACACACTAAAGTCTTCAATGGAGACGATGTGTTTGTTAGTTTGTGAAATGTCACAAAGTATAACCTGAGTGGTCAGTGTAGGTCATGCGGCTACCCCAGTCTCTCAGAGCATCACACGTCCCACTACTGTTCTTTCCTGCCACTACAAGCAACATGTCTGTGAAACATGTGTGTCTTGTAGCTCTACATCTTTATACATGAGGGCAACCGTGAGTAGGTGTTTTCAACAATGAAATTCTGAGATGTGGAAATAATTTCGGTATTTCGCCACAGCAATATGCTATGATTGCCCACCACTATAGGCACAGCATGTGATGTGAATGACATTCTACAAAATAACAATTTTCTGCAACAGAACTACATCTGTGCCCAGTGTGCCATTGACCCTTGTCCCCCATTTTCCCTTTAAGTCCCTTGAGCCATCTGTGTTTAAGATATAACTTGACATGTTTATATGTAGAACTGACATTCGCAAAACCGGCTCCACATTTCCTACACTACCCTGTTATCACTGAGCTTGCACTATTGTTATAGCTGGAACCCTTAAGGTTGTGACAGTTGTTCATGCTTGCATTTACTATAATCAAACATATCCAATATCTTGTTTTCATGTATTAAATCAAATATTAGTACTTGTACCATAGTGTAATCTAAAGATATATCACTGTAATTTATTCTAAAACCAAATTTGAGGGCCAGATATGAAAATAAATGTTAACAAACAAGAAATAAGAATGGTGTTGCCTTATGAAAGAAAGCTATCTGATTATGAAGACAGACAAATCTCTACAAAATCTAAGCCCATACAAAATGTACAGTTGGCATGCTCGACAGACACAATTGACTTTGAATCACTGTGAGCGATTGATCACTACTTCTCTGGCACATTGAAATTGTACTAATTCAGATACAGGCATGGCCTGTTGCTGACATTTGATTTAACCATTGGCAGGCAATGTTCAACAAATGCACAAATGCAAGCACTCATTCTAAATCAATGTGTTCAAATTAATAATTGTGATGTTATGATAAGTTTTTATAATTAGCAAATGGATTTGTGTTATACCTAAGTTGATAAGTGTGTTTTCTTAGGAAAGCAGATACATTGTGCCTGATAAATTAACAGCTATCTTCAGTGTTTCTGTTGACAAGTCTGTACTATTATATGTCTTTATTCTCTGTTGTAGAATTTGATGTGTCATATGTTATGCTCTTTCAGCTATAGCTTTATATAATTTACACTGTATTCTGAGTTTCTTTACTGACACAGACACAAAAAATTGTCTCTTAAAATCACTTTGCCAGCTTTGTTTGAAAGATTGGCAAATGGATTTCCTGAGCTTATGGTTAATCATGTGTATTAGGTTACTGGTATCTCCACCATTAAAGTCATGTATGTTGTTGACACTGTCTGTGAGGCTTTGCATACTTCCTCTGTTCCTTTTTTCTGTTTGAACACAGTCATTAGGAATTAAATATCATGCTGTAATACATAATAAGTTCTGTATTTTATGGTTATCTATTACAGATTATTCAGTTACATAAGGATACTGATGAATATTAAAGTACTTCAACATAAGATGACTCAAATTTTTGGTGTAAAAGATTAACATAAACATTCATAAAAAACAATGCTTCACTTAAAGAATTCACTTAAATATGATATCATATTTTGGAATCAGGTTCACAACAGTTTTACTGAGTAAGCTGAAAATGTAATGATTACTGTTTCCCTTTATACAAATGTAACATGTAATACAGAGACTCCTAGTTGGGCAAAGTCTTCCATGAAACATTGAAGGACTTGGAGATATGAGTGTAGTCAATGTACAATAAGGATTACATTAATATGTGTCAATATTCAGAATCCATTTTTCAGATGTGGCTGATTGCCAAGTCCCAATAATACAATGTAGTTTAATGACAGTAATTTCATGAGAGATTATAAAGTAAGACTCCTTTTGAAAGGCCTGCAGAATACTGAATTTCAGGTATGAATCATATGTAAATGCAAGAAAAATTTCTGCATTCATGCATCAAAAGTTCCATATGTCAGTATATTGACTTATAATGAAATGTATCACTGTGTAAGTGAATAGATACAAATGACCTACAATTCATGAATATAATGCTAAACATGAACTATTGGCTCCATGCTGGTTGAAACAGATTATCTGTATGACACAAGTATTTTCTGAGTTTTAAGCACTGTCTATATATTCCCACATTAACAAGATATAACAGCATCCCTTACCTTTTCAAGCAGGTCCATACAATGTAGACAATTTGTTTCTCCAAAACACTGTTGTTGCATTCTTTTCAAGTTTCTTTCATTTTGTCTTCTGCTACCTCTGAGTAAAAGACCTTCTCTATGAAGAGTTGATCAAGGGAGATCACTCTTGGGGGCACTGAAATGAAATTATCTCCCTTTGTTTTCTCTTATCTGTTTAGGTTAAATTGTTACCTCTTGAGTGTTTGTGTTTGGTTCATTTTTATCAAGGATTATATGGGAACAGGCAATAGGAGAGGTGTCCATGGATGTTTGAACGTCACCTTGACTATTCATGCACTGCAAATGAATACTTGTCTTGATAAGTATCTTCTTTTGTTCAATCCCAAATTTTTAAAACGAAACATGCCATTGGCATTGGTGAAATGGAGAGCTTATCAATTAAACATTCATATCATGAAATATATTTCATAACCAGACAAGTTCACCTGTGAGGAAAGCATGTGCCATCAGTCATTATATCAAGACACACCCATAGAGAGGTCATAGCATTCCAGAATGAAGTTCCATCCCTCTCACAACTTTCAGAGCTCACTTAGTGGCAAGGAACTTCAGAAAAAGACTTGACAACTTATTTCCACACTAGGGTATTCATTTTGCCCCCAACCCCAACCCAACCCACCCCCAAATAATTAAAAATTCAAGTTTGTTAATCTAACTTCAATAAATCAATAAATACATTTAACAAAATAAGTCAAATTAAAGACTAAATCTGTTTAACCAGTTTGTTTACTAACAGTTTCAAACAGCTTTTATTTCAATACTTTCTTTAGTAAGTGTACAATGTATTCACAAGTGGTATAAAGTAGGTCAGTAGAGGAAAAGATTGTTTGTTTGATGTTTAACACAGCACTCAGCAATAATCATGCTGTATGACAGTGGTCTGTAAATAATCAAATCTGGACCAGGCAATCCAGTGCTTCATATTATGAACATTGATCAATACAACTGGGATATGATGACATGTGGCAACCATGTCAGCAAACCTGACCACCCGATCCTGTTAGTTGCCTCTTATGAAAAACTTGGTCTGCTGAATATTAATTCTAACCTGGATCTTAATTAGTGATGTAGACAAAGAAGTAGCATTTTGACTTCTTTCATCTGAAACACAACATTTCAATCATATAAAAAAATGGGGTTTTAAGATTTATTTGTAAACCATGTGATTAAAACAAGAGTGTAGACAATAATATCTGAGACAAGATGGTATAAAAGTCAGTGCTGTATGTGTATGCCCAGCTCCAGACAGTATACAAGTCAGTGTCTTGAATCTTTATGACACATAGTTAAGCAGTCTCTGATCTAGAAAAAAGACTAATATTCCTTAGTCCAGTAACTATATGTGTTTGTATATATGTTTTTTAATATATACATTTGATGTTTTAAGTGAATGCAAAACATTTACAGACACATCACTGAAAGATACTGTACTTAAAACCATTACACCTGAGGTCCGAGACCGCGGACTGCTGTTAATCTTATGGCTAGGAACAAGGTCGTCTGTATCACCAGCCTCAACATGTGCATGAGTGTTATGGCGGATATGATTCTATAATTTGTACAAGTGTGAGTTTAAATGTGGAGCTGCTTCATGTCTGCCACATGACAAAAGCACTGTGCCACCTTGGAAACCAAGTTCAGAGTAGGAACGTTTATTCTTCACATATTGCGATAACTCCCAACTAGTAGTAATCAAAGTTCATAAGAATTCATATGCTTTGAGCTTTAAGATTCATAACTTTCGTAGAGGTCACAGTGACTGAAGTTATTTTAAATGTAGTTCTGCACCCATGTTTTTTTTGACATGTTTGTTAGACTTTCATACACATGTTGTCAGTTAGATATAATTAAGGTAAATGCACTTGAAGTACATGCAAGTACTATGTTGGTAGTGATGTCATAAGACTTATAGTTAATGTTCCTCATTAAGTCAGCCAGAGGCAAGGTACTTTAATCTACTTCTTTGATTGACATTCTAGAAGTTAAGGAGATAAAGAATGTGGACAATTTTTATGGATGTACAACTTCTTTATTCTGTATAGGCTATGTTTCAACATAGATTCTAATGTCCCATGCTTGATTGGCATTTTAGAAGATGCTACTTGATGAACATAAAGAATTTTCAGGATTTCATCATCTTTTTATTCTTTTCACAGCTTGCTTGACAACGACATTAGAAGCTATGTCGAAACTTTGCCAGTACAGAATAAAGAAGTTGTATAGCCATAAAAATTGTCTTCATTCTACTTTGATCTAGGCATGCATTTCAGCACACCAAAGGTTATCCTATCACACAGAATATGTGTGGTACCATGGTATAAGTTCTGGGGCTGCTTCTGTTTCTGCAAGTATTTGCAGACCCTTTTGTAGTTCTGATAACAAAATTTGTGATTTTTTAAATGTTTTTACAAGAACTTCTCAGAATATTCATTTACCAGTACATAACGACTGAGGCACATGTCATCTGATAGCAATTACACTAATTGTTCACACGGTAGTGTTCCAAACTCACTTTTCTCAGAACAAACATGCTATAAGAGAGACTTTGTAGAACACAGGGGCTTATTAGTTCCAAGCTTGTTAGATTGAACTCTCATCTTCAAAACAATTAGGAGTTATTTACACAACCAACTGCTTTCTTCATCCGGAAATTCAGCTTCCGGACCACAAAGGGATGAAAAGGAACAAGTTGAAAAACAACTATAATTGTTGAGCCATCAGACCTAAAAGAAAGAATTATTGGCGGTGGGACAGATGATCAGTCAGCCAGTTGCTGACTTGCTTACTTTGTGCTATGATTTCAAACTCAACAGTGTCAGATAAAGAAGAATAATGCATAAATATTGACTCTGCTTAGTTCCATCTAGTTGTTTCTGGTGAGCAGATATTAGCCATCGTGGCAAAATCAATTTCCATCAAGGTTTTCTTCTCTATTTTTGTGAAATTATACGTTTAGTAAAAAGGTCCCAAAATCATTGATTGAAGATATGTACATTTGTTTTACTTTATCAACATTTCTCTCAATGATTTCTTTCAGATTTCTTGAACCTTGTTCATGTGGTTCTGTTTCGTGGCAAACTGATTCTATTGTTAGGTACATTTTATCCTAGGACATATTGGTATTACATATGTAACTAGTACTCTTCCTCTTCAGATTCCTATGACCGACTGTGCCGAAGAGGTCTCCCGATCACTGACCAATTCTGTGCCAAGTTCACCATGCTGTGTAATAATGGCCGCTGTATTGATACCCCAAGCTCCTTCCGATGTGAATGCAACCCAGGATACAGGGAGTCTAATGACAACTGCATAGGTACGTTCAGTGGTGTAGTTTTTAAATCCAGGCAGGTTTGATTCAAGCAATTTTTGTATCCCCTTCTGTGTCTGCTTACTATAATTCTGTTATGTATGTCAAACAGTTAATCCTAACCCTTATTGGGATAACTGTAAATTTTACTAGTCACAAAATCTAGACCTATATTGGAAATGCCATTATGCATCATAGACACCCTTAATCAATCCAATAACATTTCTTTATACCATAATGTTCTTGGCCTGAACTACAAATATGAAGACCTTAGTGAAGGTTAACACAGATACTGTCGTGTGAGTTAATGCAATAGACCTAACATTAGAAGTATTTCAAGTAATAAATTTTTTTTGGTGCTATTACCCATATGGGAAGGAGGACACAGGGTAGTATTTTTCCTGTAAGTCCCTAGGGAGGTAACACCTTTTGGTGAACGTTGATTGGCTGTTTCAGAAAATACAATAGCCAATCAATGTGTAGGTGTATGGGGATTCCCCACATCAGGGGTTTCCTTATAGAGAATGCTGTTTTCATTTTAGCTTTTTTTAGATTGAAAACTGATACTGGTAATAAAAACAATAACCAACTTATGATGGGGAATGACAAATTATCTTTCCCTTATTATATTTATTATGTAACTCTTGAGCCTTGGAAAGATAATCTGTCATTCTGTCACATGTTAGTTATTGTCTAAATCTGTCGTTGTCTCCCATGTAAATGCATTATCAAACCCATTAGATAGTTCAGTAGGAAATCACACGTTTCACAAAACTTCCCCTCTCTCTCAGAATTGTTTGAACATTCTTTTCGTAAAACTTATTTCACTATTTATTTTTTCCAATGTTAATCCAAATATACTTTCCCTGGGAAACTGCTCCACCCAGTTGAATAGGTTCTCCGCTGAGATGGAAACTAGATGTCTAGTATACAGTAAATGATGTTCATGCAACAAGTTTGAAAAGGAAACACTGTTTATACAACAGTTACACTTGTTGAGGATGTAAATTATTTACCTTTTCAGAAACCACTTAAGCCCAGACTTTCAGTGTAAGGTTGTATTTGTATTTACAATATTTCTAAGTTTTCAACCAGCCGGTACTGGAATGTCACCTTTACTTCCTGTAGACTGTCACATGTTAGTCACAGAAGAGGAAAGTCAGCTATGTTTAAAGTCTGTCATACAATCTGCTATGATAGTTTAACATTTATACAAATTTTTATCATTTCTTATAGATACGAAGTGACACATTAGGATCCAGGGACAATGCATGCATAAAATACTAGCTTACTGGAAGTTGTCATGGTCTTGGTAATGTGTACCACTCACCCAGACATAGTTATCATGGTCTTGGTAAAGTGTACCAATCTCCCAGAGATAGTTATCATGGTCTTGGTGACATGAACCACTCTCCCAGACATAGTTATCATGGTCTTGGTAATGTGAACCACTCTCCCAGAGATAGTTATCATGGTCTTGGTGACATGAACCACTCTCCCAGACATAGTTATCATGGTCTTGGTGACATGAACCACTCTCCCAGACATAGTTATCATGGTCTTGGTGACATGAACTACTCTCCCAGATATAGTTATCATGGTCTTGGTGACATGAACCACTCTCCCAGACATAGTTATCATGGTCTTGGTGACATGAACCAATCTCCCAGACATAGTTATCATGGTCTTGGTGACATGAACCACTCTCCCAGAAATAGTTATCAAGGTCTTGGTGACATGAACCACTCTCCCAGACATAGTTATCATGGTCTTGGTAAAGTGTACCACTCTCCCAGACATAGTTATCATGGTCTTGGTGACATGAACCACTCTCCCAGACATAGTTATCATGGTCTTGGTGACATGAACCACTCTCCCAGACATAGTTATCATGGTCTTGGTGACATGAACCAATCTCCCAGACATAGTTATCATGGTCTTGGTAAAGTGTACCACTCTCCCAGACATAGTTATCATGGTCTTGGTAATGTGAACCACTCTCCCAGACATAGTTATCATGGTCTTGGTGACATGAACCACTCTCCCAGACATAGTTATCATGGTCTTGGTAAAGTGTACCACTCTCCCAGACATAGTTATCAAGGTCTTGGTAATGTGAACCACTCTCCCAGACATAGTTATCATGGTCTTGGTGACATGAACCACTCTCCCAGACATAGTTATCATGGTCTTGGTGACATGAACCACTCTCCCAGACATAGTTATCATGGTCTTGGTGACATGAACCACTCTCCCAGACATAGTTATCATGGTCTTGGTGACATGAACTACTCTCCCAGATATAGTTATCATGGTCTTGGTGACATGAACCACTCTCCCAGACATAGTTATCATGGTCTTGGTGACATGAACCAATCTCCCAGACATAGTTATCATGGTCTTGGTGACATGAACCGCTCTCCCAGAAATAGTTATCAAGGTCTTGGTGACATGAACCACTCTCCCAGACATAGTTATCATGGTCTTGGTAAAGTGTACCACTCTCCCAGACATAGTTATCATGGTCTTGGTGACATGAACCACTCTCCCAGACATAGTTATCATGGTCTTGGTGACATGAACCACTCTCCCAGACATAGTTATCATGGTCTTGGTGACATGAACCAATCTCCCAGACATAGTTATCATGGTCTTGGTAAAGTGTACCACTCTCCCAGACATAGTTATCATGGTCTTGGTAATGTGAACCACTCTCCCAGACATAGTTATCATGGTCTTGGTGACATGAACCACTCTCCCAGACATAGTTATCATGGTCTTGGTAAAGTGTACCACTCTCCCAGACATAGTTATCAAGGTCTTGGTAATGTGAACCACTCTCCCAGACATAGTTATCATGGTCTTGGTGACATGAACCACTCTCCCAGACATAGTTATCATGGTCTTGGTGACATGAACCAATCTCCCAGACATAGTTATCATGGTCTTGGTAAAGTGTACCACTCTCCCAGACATAGTTATCATGGTCTTGGTAATGTGAACCACTCTCCCAGACATAGTTATCATGGTCTTGGTGACATGAACCACTCTCCCAGACATAAATATCATGGTCTTGGTGACATGAACCACTCTCCCAGATATAGTTATCATGGTCTTGGTAATGTGTACCAATCTCCCAGACAGAGTTATCATGGTCTTGGTGACATGAACCACTTTCCCAGACATAGTTATCATGGTCTTGGTAATGTGAACCACTCTCCCAGACATAGTTATCATGGTCTTGGTAATGTGAACCACTCTCCCAGACATAGTTATCATGGTCTTGGTGACATGAACCACTCTCCCAGACATAGTTATCATGGTCTTGGTGACATGAACTACTCTCCCAGATATAGTTATCATGGTCTTGGGGACATGAACCACTCTCCCAGACATAGTTATCATGGTCTTGGTGACATGAACCAATCTCCCAGACATAGTTATCATGGTCTTGGTGACATGAACCGCTCTCCCAGAAATAGTTATCAAGGTCTTGGTGACATGAACCACTCTCCCAGACATAGTTATCATGGTCTTGGTAAAGTGTACCACTCTCCCAGACATAGTTATCATGGTCTTGGTGACATGAACCACTCTCCCAGACATAGTTATCATGGTCTTGGTGACATGAACCACTCTCCCAGACATAGTTATCATGGTCTTGGTGACATGAACCAATCTCCCAGACATAGTTATCTTGGTCTTGGTAAAGTGTACCACTCTCCCAGACATAGTTATCATGGTCTTGATGACATGAACCACTCTCCCAGACATAGTTATCATGGTCTTGGTAATGTGAACCACTCTCCCAAACATAGTTATCATGGTCTTGGTGACATGAACCACTCTCCCAGACATAGTTATCATGGTCTTGGTGACATGAACCACTCTCCCAGACATAGTTATCATGGTCTTGGTGACATGAACCACTCACCCAGACATCATATTTTTAAAAAGACACTGGTCATGTCTTTCTTTTCTTTGGTCTTTTTTTATTACATTCAACAGTCCAGGGTGGGTGGCATGCTGGTTAAAGCATTTGCTTGTCACACGGAAGGCTAGATGGGAACGGGTAAAATGAAATACTGTTGCCAGCAGCCCACGACACACACCCCAATCCTTAACCCCACTCACTCACTCACTCACTCATATTTTTAAAACACCTAAATGTAAGACAGTTATTCAAATGTGACATTTAAGGAGGATGCAAGGAATCATTTTCTTTTCTATATGTCAAATTTAAATCATTGTGCAAACTATCAGACTGTGTATATGTTTTAATACTGTGTGCATTCCTTGCATGTCATTATCCCTGTGGAATGAAAGACACCAAGTACTGCACAGTTTCATTCAATAGATGGTAACCATATACCATAATCCTCTGCAAAGTGCCTGCTTGCTGTATGAGGTAATCCTTTTGTAAATATGTGAAATCAAATCTTCAAGTTTGCTAGTTTTTTGGTGCTACTATTGTGGATGTTTTAATAACGGGCCGAGCTTCCTCTGGAGAGACGGGCCATCATTTATCATGCATAGCTGGATGTCAGTGCTCCCACATGCCCGTCCTTGCTTAACACCTGTAATCAGGTTGACACTGTCTAGACAGTACCATTGTGCAGTACACGAAACAAGCACCTGTTTCCTTGTAACAAACATCAGCCCTCCAGAGCAGCTTTTTGTTGTAGAGACCTGGTTTTATACCTGAAGAAATGCATATGTCGTGGCTCAAATTACTCTTCTGTCAATTTCAGCTGGTGTAAACTTCTACATTCACAGGGATACATTTCTGTAAAGTGATTTCAGATGAGCTACATTTCTATATACACCTGGGCTACATTTTAAATAGTGATTTCAGATGAGCTATATTTCTCTATACACCCGGGCTACATTTCTAAATAGTGATTTCAGCTGAGTTATATATATGTATACACCTGGGCTACATATCTGAACAGTGATTTCAGATGAACTATATTTATGTATACACTTGGGCCACATTTCTAAATAGT